TGGTGCCAAGCAAACTACTGCCAGAGACATGGGAAAAAAGATTTGCAGATATGAGGAAAGCTGGCATCAGAAATAATGCTATCTGTACAATCTTCCTCAAAAACTCGAAGTGGTGGGTGTGTGAACTTGCACTTGCAACCTGTACAGCCAAGCCAGCACTCATTTCACTACCAGCCTCCTCTGCCCCACTTGCATGCACATGGGGGTTACAGGATTCCCCATCCTTTGTTTTCTCCTGGAATCAAACACAGGAGTTCATGGTTGCTGATCTGATGGGTGAGGAGTGGGTACTACCAGCTGGAGTGTTGCCACTGGCAGGGGCAGACAGGAAAACAAGAATGCTCTTAATGTTTCTTTTTTTTAAAAGAAAACCTTTGATGGACAAAAGAGTGGTTGTATTTTTACCCTCTCCCTTCATGCTGCCAGGCGTCTTTAAATAGATCCTCTAGCCTAGGGACTTGTATGGAATAATTCATATTAAAACCCAAGAAGTGGCAGTGGAGGGGAGTTGGTTCTTTCTTTTCCTTCCTTCCTTTCTTTCTTTTTTTTTTTTCTTCTTCTTGTCAAGCTAACAGGAAAAGACTCATTTTAATTCAGCTGTGCTAAATTTCTCCTTTTGGGTCTTTTAATGAACTTTAGCTAATTCGGAAAAGGCAACCAAAGCCCCCAGGAGAAGAAAATGAATAGGAATAGATTGCTCTTTAACACCTTTTGGTCCCAAGGACATTAGCAGCATCTTTCAAGCATACTGCACAGAGAGGGTTTCAGGAGTCTCTTCAATGGGAATCTCTAATTGAGAGGGCCTGTTCCCTCCATTTACAACTCATCAACTGTTGTTCTGTTGTTCAGAGAAAGAAAGAAAGAAAAAATCCCTCCCTATCTCCAAAGCCCCATGCATTTTTATTTCTGTTCAACCAGAAGCTTTCCCCTCCCCTTTCACCAAATGTGTTTCATAATGTCATTCAGGTCTGTGCAGGCCAAATTAAAAGTCCTGTCGCTCTTTCTTTCTGTTTAGGGGAAAAGGATGTGGGAAGGACAAGGGAAGGGGGCAGGGCCCCAGGATCCAGGGAGCTTTGTTTTGAGTCACTTGTCTCCCCCCCACCACCTCCCCCCCACTCCCGAAACAGAATAACCACATTTCTCTTAATGTAGGCCGAAGTGCACCCAGGCATTCCCATGATGCTCCCATCCCCAGGCCTTTGCCGGAGATGGAGATGTCCGGGTCACTGTGATGGTATGCTTGTCCCTGCCAACCCGGGTCACTCCAGCCTTGCTCTCGGCGAGCCATGTGTCTGCCTCTCTCTGTGAGTGGGTTCAGCCTCAGGGCTACAAAGAGCCCCCCAATCCTATCAGCCTTAGCAGAGTTGGTGCCAAGAATGACATCCTGGGAATACTATGGAGATGGGGAGACCTCATGGTCTGTTCTCCCCAGATGAAACAGGACCCAGGCTGTCTGGAAAACAGGCCGAGCCAAGAGCAAGCTCACAATGGAAGGAGCTCAGGGGAAGGGAAAAGGGGGCGGGCTGGAAGCAATAGAAAAAGAAAGCCACATGCCACCCAGGAAGATTCCAGGGCAGGCGGGAGGAGGTGGTGGAGGAAGAACTTGCAGGAAACAAGTGCCCAGACATGGCACTGCCAGTCTAGCAGGATTCTTTTCTGAATTAGATTATGCGAAAGAAAGAGGGGAAATATATAGCCGGCCAGCTGTTCAAAGGCTTACAACCTTGCTTTTATTGTCCGGGTAAGTTGATGAGATGGGGCATCAGAGGAATTCCAAACATACCATCCAAGAGAAATTTTAATATGTTCCACAGTGTCATACACGAAGAGGAAATGACAGCTGATCACAGCCATGGCAGGCCCCAGCAATCTGGGCCTTGGAACTCACCCATCCTCCCCATGGCTCTGCTTTTCCCTTAGCACTTCTTAGTCCTTCCACCTGCCTCCCCATCCCCTCTGCTCCTGTCTAGACAAAATAGCACTGACTGACTCATGGGAAGAGGTGAGAATGGGCTTGAAGGCTGCTGGCCAAAAAGTTGAGGGGCTGGCTAGGGTGAGTCAGGCACCCTAGGGAGTCAGGGGCATTTGAATCCAACCATGGGGGATTATCTGCTGATAAGGACCAAGTCAAGGACCCTGGTGATGCAGTCGGCAGGGTTTTTGCCCAGTAATCTAACCGCGTGATAAAGCACAAGATTTGGTTACTTGAAAGCAGTACTGTGTGTGTGTGCGTGCAGCTCTGACAGAGAGCTGGGTTTGGGGAATAACTTTCCATATCTTCTTCCCAGGAGCCTTTTGAATTTAGGCCAGGCCAACAGGTCATTGATTTTGATCCTGGGGGGTGGGACAAGCAAATGATGGAGATAGTGACTGCATCTTCCTCTGTGCATGTTTCAGATTCAGTGATTCATCAAGTGGCCCTGAAGTCAGCTGCTGAATAGGTGACTCACATCTATCCCTGATAAAGACAGCATGTGGGCCTTTCCAGGCGTGCTCGAAACAGCAGAGAAAGGATAAACTGCTCTTTTTTCAGGCTTCTTATACCCAGGCCATATTAGCTGTATGTGTCAGATATACCCAAGGATCTGGTGAGAAAGGCCTAAGGGAAACCTCCTAATCATAAATGGAAAGAAAATCCATTGGTAAGCCAGAATCATTTCAAATAAATCTGGATGCCAGCAGCTATTCTAAATGATTCAGTGTAACAAGGAAGTTATTACTCAGTTTACCCATGGACAAATCCCATTTCAGTTCCAAAATCTAATTAATTGGAGCTAGCACACAAATTGAGAATTAGGATGTGGGACAATGTCTCATTCCACCTTTGCATCCATCAGGACTAGCATTTTGCTGGGCAAATCTAAAATGCTTAATAAATATTTATTAAGGGAATGATGGAATGAATAATTAACCAGTACGAACAATAGTACTTGAATTGCAAGTTCCTAATACAAAGATTGCCAGCCATCATGGCAGCTATAATTCCGAGAAACTCACAACATTTTTCAAAGGTCCAGGAAAATAAATGAGTTGGAAATTGTTAAATGTATTGAAAAATGATTTATTTTTCCCTTGACAGTGTCATTGGAACTCGAATTAAGATTGAAAACTCCACAGGCACATTTCCATCTGTGGGTGTCAGCTGCTTGGTATACAGACTTAAGAAGGCCTCAGCCAGTTTTCCCATTACCTGAACCCAATGTATTTTAAAATAATTGATGCAAAACATTGCATTTTGTGTTCAAACATTCTTGTGTAATGATCTGAATGATACTTTAAGACAATTGTTTTGAATTAGCTAAATGCCTTGCTAACAGCAGTGAGGTTTTTGTTTTTTCCCTGTAAAAATTTGCATCAATATACTCCATAATATCTATTACAGGCTTTCTTAAATAGCAAATATCCCAAGGCGGTAAATTCATTCATTCTAAAGTCAGATTTTCATTCAACAATGGTTATTAAGCTAATTAGAGAAAAGCAGAGAGGATCCCCATAAACCATGTCCCAACTCCATAATGAAAATGATCGAAAGGACAGACCTTAAAGTTTACTTTCAGAAGCAAGACTGGTGAGAAGAAAATGAGCAGATATTTTCATCTGGTCTAAACACTCAAATGAGACATATTCGGTAGTTCCAGTTGTATTTTCTTGACACCCACAGCCAACACTGCATTTTAGACATTTCTATGTTTTCACATGCACTTGGCATTTAATGATATGTGTTGGAGAAATTTGCCTATGCAGGGGTCCTTGCAATTAAAATACACTAATATACAAATAAAAAGAGGCATGTTTTGCAACAGCCATATCTGTTATTAATGACAGCGAAAAGAATAGTACATGCCAAGCAGCTTCCTTCCCCGCACCTGAATCTCTGCCGAGATGGGAGTCTGCCTCTTACAGGGAGGCTTATCTGGGCTTGTCCATTACAATGAGCCTCAGTTACCAGGCGTTCTGAGTCATTAACATTCTGTACACAATCAAACTTTCCGTCCCCCAAGAGTTATGCCCGGGCCTCCTACAGCTCAATTGTTCATTTACAGAGAGAATTTGTATTCAAGAGTTTCAAAGAACCCTCCGAATATTCCTCAGGTGTCTGTAGAAGTCATTCTTACAGGTCCTGGCCCCTGTGCTGGTGGGAGCATCCTTCCCGATCACTCCTTGGACACTGTAGCGTCTGTCGCGCTGCAGAGACAAGCTGACTACTAAAAATAACCCCTTGCAATAAGGCCAAGGCAAACAGCATGCATTTCCTCGGACTTTTTGCCCAATCAAAATCATACAGTAACCCATCCTCATCTCTCCCCGCTGCTCCCGAACGCATCTATGGAAGCGAAGTCCTGCGCGTCTGGAGAAGAGTGCAAAGGAGCAGGATTCCTGCAAAGCGTGACACAGAAAGCTAGAAAGAAATGTTGCCTATTGTTTGAAGTCATTCTGAGCACTCTGGCAGAGCCCTGGCAGGAGATCAGCAGCATACATAAGTAGTAATAAAAGTAAACAGTGCGCTTTTAAACTCGGAGGCTTTCCTGCGTTCATAGTGCCCCCATTGTAAGTGGGATGAAGGCGGTGGGGAAGACACTGGGCTCCAGGAATCCATGTCGCCGACTTGCTGCGGCTCAGATCCCTTTCACAGGGGCAGATATAAGAACCATTACGAAGTTACGTCCAACTACATAGAGAGTTTGAAAAGAAAACCTCTTTAAGTCAAACCAAAAGATATATTCAAGCTTCTCTGGGAGACTCCCTGCTCTGTCACAGACTTCAAAGACAAGTTCATTAAAATAAAAAAAAAGAAAAGAAAAGAAAAAAAAAAACACACCAAAAAAAAAAAAAAACCCAAAAAATGCAATGCTAGCATGCTACAGACTAATGCAAATTAAAGTAATGCAAATTTAAGTGGTATTTAAAGGTTGTGTTTTTGTCTGAGAGGAGGATGAAATGCTCGGTTTGGAAAGAAGTCATTTCCTAGGCAAGCCGTCAGCGCCTGTTTTCCTGCTTACCTTGGGGGAAACGCAGGGCTCCTTTCTTCTCAGACTTTTCTGAGAGCTAGAAAGAGGTCCTGTTACTTCCAAATGCTTTTGTTCTTCTGTCCCTCTGTCACATGGCTTGCCTTTTATATTTGCAACACACAAAAGTTAGGACTGTTGTTTAAGCGACACAGGGAGAGAGAGGGAGAGAGAGAGAGAGAGAGAGGGAAAG